GGGGCTCCCGGCGGGCCCGGGCCTGGGGCTATGGCGGTGTGGTCGCTCCCTGCCCTCCGCAGCCCTCGGGCCGCCACGGGCTGGTGCTCCCTTCCATGGGGCAGCGACCACTGGGAATAAAGAACAAAGCCCTCTGCCTCCGGCGTCGGTATTGCTTGTGCGCCTCCAACCTGTGCCTAGAGTCTGTTCCAGCGCTTGGGTCGGTGTTGGAAAACAACGAGCTGGTAATTTGCGGCAGAGATTTTTGAGAAATGAATGTTGCTTCCTTTACATTGTCTTCGAGCAGAAACCAGCATGTACTCTCTGCTCGCTCTTTGCAGGTGTTAAATATTGTTTCATTGTTTTTCATTTTTTTTCCCCCCTCCCTTGTCTAAAGGACTCACCTTAGCTGAATGCTTTAAGCTTTGTGAACACAGACCTGGTCTGAGAAGTTGGTGCAAGGAAGGTGATCCTTTCTCGTAAGCTTGAAAGCTAAAATGGTCAAAGAACATGGTATATGACAAGGTTACAGGAACACCAGGCATTAAAGAGTACTTACTGCTTGAATTGGCTTGTCGCTGTTGCAACTTGCCTGGTTTTAGAAAACTTTGGAATTTAGAGCAGAGGCTGAGGAAATTGGCAGTGGTTTGACATTTGTAAAGCTGTAGGGTTGAGAAACTATTAAAATACAAGGAAAGCTATGCTGTTGATGAAAATCTACACAAAACCTGAAAATTATTATGATCCTACATGAGAAATGCAACCTTTGGGGAAAGGACAGACATCATCTTCTGCCATTATCATGAATCCCAATCTAAAGTATGTGATGTGGCCAGGAGAATGTGTTCTGTTTTGAACATGAACAGTTGTAATCATGCACTGTTAATGATTTTGTTATACTGACGAAAAAAGCCCCAAAGCAATCTCCCAAAATCCCACACATGCATACCAAATCAGGTTATTGAAGCAATATGTGATAGTGTCTTGTTATTTGCTGTATCTGTCCTGTAGAGACAGCATGCCTGCATTTATTTCTCTCTAAAGATGATGGGTTTCTGCCGGGTTTTGTGTGAGGACAAAGATCTTATAGAATAAATGATACAATAAATGTATAAAAGATGCTGTATATGTAAGTATTTTGCAAATGGTACTTTTGATTCTCAAGAGGCAGGCTGGACTCCAGAATCACCTAGATGACATTACTACACTTGGAAGATTTGCTGGAGGTCATGAGGGGTATGTGCAAGCATCAGTTAGACTAGGCTGGAAGAAAATGTCCAAATGTCTCTACAAAGGAACAGGCACACCTTCTTTGAAGGGTAAGAGGAACAGACAATGCCGATTCAAACATATGAAGAACCTATTCTAAATAATTTATTTGCAATTAAATTAATTTCATGAATACTCTTGAAGATTTGGGAGATCTAATTGTGGCCCTCCAGTCTCTAAAGGGAGCCTACAAGAAACATGGAAAGGGACTATTTACAGGACCATTTACAAGACAGGACAAGGGGAAATGGTTTCAAACTGAAAGAGAAGAGGTTTATAGTAGATATAAGAAAGCAGTTCATTAGTGTGAGGGTGGTGAGGCATTGGAATAGGTTGCTCAGAGAAGTTGTGGATGTCTCATCCCTGGAGGTGTTCAAGACCAGGCTGGATGGGGCTTTAAGCAATCTGCTCTAGTTTAAGGTGCTGCTGTCCATGGAAGGAGGGTTGGAACTAAATGATCATTAGTGTCCCTTCCAACTTAAGACATTCTTTGGTTATCATATCACCTTAGACTGCTGTAGGCTAATTCCTGAGGAAAGAAGAAAAAAATCTTTGAACATAATAATGCAAGATTGTACATTCTTTGGTTCTGTGTTAGCTATACCTGTGATGACTGACATAAAGAACATGTTTGTCTTGTCCAGAACACTCCATGGACTCAGGATTTCCTTCCTCCCTTAAAAGGACTCAAGATTCCCTTCCTCCCTCTCCTGTCCTGAGAAATTAATGTTTACTGTGAGCTGTTTTTCTGGGGGCCAAAGGTAATGGTGATAATTTAAATATGGTAGACTGTCTTTCTGAACGTTCTCTCAGCTCAGAGATGATTATTAGTTCTTTGAAGAAAAACTAAGAAATAACAAAAGGTTCACATTGCTAAAGAACTTTTTACCAGTAATCATTCTATGAGAATTATGTTTATTTTCAGAGAAACACATTTGAGAGAAAAAAAAAAAAAAAAAAGAAAAGAAAAAAAGAAAAAATAATAAAAGGAATATTGAGAGAAGAATAAGCACAAGAAAATGCTTATTTGCATATTGGCTACACAGAAATGAAAATCCTGCTGTAGAAGACACAGATTCAAAAGAACCATAGATTACTTGGTGATGGTATGAGAAAACAAGAACTCAAAGGATGGGAATCTGAATTATCACAGAGCTGCTGAGATTTTTTTCTGTTCTCATATGACAAGAGTTATGCAAAAGAACACTTTGAGTGCTTGTTCTTCATTAGACACTTCACCAGAAGATTGAAAAACAAGGACAATTATTGCATTAACAGAATTTTAAATGTAAAGCCTAACATGTATAAATTATCATAATACAGGTGAAGCCCTTGCAGTGATATACTTAAAAATTCTGAAAAGCTTGGTATAAGGTTCACTCTTCCCTGTAACATTTTTCAGAAATCCTATGAACTAGATGTGTGGTATGACATACTCATCTGCTGTGCTAAGGAGAATAGATGAGAAAATATGCAGCCTAATGAAATGTTAGATCAAAAATCTGTCTTAAAGATAGGCATTATCACCATAAGATATTTAGATTTAAGACACTCTAAACTCGTGTTACTTCCTTGTGGCTATTTGACATGCACAATGCCATGAAGTGATATAATGACCCACTCTCTCCTAGATTCATCAAACCTCACAACATTTAGTGTCAAGGTATTTGACAGTGTAGCACTTATTGCCTTGATTTAACCACTATGATAACAGTTGCAGAAGAGGTCAGAAGTAGCTTCGTATCTATGTGCTGATTTAGGTTTTTCAGAGAGCACACACCATTTTATCTGTGTACTAGCAAGTTAGCTGAAAAGTGGAATATGTCAGTGTTTGAAACAGTTTGCACACAAATAATCTGAAAGAAAAGATTTTAGCAGACTTTCCTCTAGTTGGCCTTTTCTGAGCTGCTGTTTTGAGCAAAGGTGTAATAGAACTCTACTGGATTGTTGGTTCTACTAGACCTTTGCTCAAAACAGCAATTCAGAAGATGCCAAATGAATTCTGTATGGAAGGAGATGTGTTAAATATTGCTAGGTTATGGATGCCTAAGGCTAGAACATGAGTCCAGATGGCTGAAGTTCAACAGATGCCACAGAACTACAGAACTTGCATAAATATGTGATGTCAAGTGTGGGAAATCACAGTGATGTTTTTCTGTACAAGTATGAAGGCCTGAGTATCTTACCAACAACCACAAATATATATATATATATATATATATATATATAAATTAAGTTCCCAGTATTTTACATTTGAAATAAAAAAGAAGACCATGTTCTGTGTCTCTAAGCTATCTATCAGATGTCAGTGGAATTTTTCTTGCAAGTTCTTGCAAAAAATTTCAGAATACCTATTGCAAAATATCAAAGATAGAGGCTTTATCCCCAGTCTATTGGGTTTATGAAGATTGATGTCATAATTAGAAACATACCAAATAGTCTAAATAGTCATATTCAATTCAAAATACAGTGCAGCACTGCTGAGACATAAGTTTCACAGTAATATTCTCTTCAGTAGGGAATGAATGAAAATCATCTTGCTTGTACTGTGAGAAAATTTATGCCAAAGATTTGGGGCCTCCAGATGTATCAGGTGGCACAGTGTGGAACAAAAAGCTAAATCTCACTTGCAGTTAGTGCCATCACTTCCCAGAAATAGATGTTGGGCATTTGCAATGAGAAACAATGGTCACATACAGCGGTGGTATCCGGAAAGATTAATGCAGTGGTCTTACCAAATCCTCAATGCACACAGACACACTGGGTAGGGAAGCAGCCAGTGCTTCATCCAAATTCCATGACAGAAAAATTGCAAAAAGCTCTGAGAGCCCCAGGCAGAGAACCAGGACAGGTGAAACCAGCCAAGCCATCGGATGCATCATATCACAACAAGAGCTTCTGGACCATTTCCAGCAGCAGTGCTGACGTCTGAAAGTGCTTCAGAGTGATTGAGTATTGTTGTGTGGGTAACAGTTTGCACCTTTTTAGCCGAGCAAAGCACAGTTTCTGATTCTTTTAAAGAAACAGTCACTTCTTTTAATATATAGAAACACTATTTGGAGAGCTTATGTTTGAGAGGTTCAGCTGGGATGCCTTGCAATGAGGAGTCAGATGCCCATTTAGGACTGTGAGGGTATTCCTAAGCTCTGATTATTGTGTGGAGCTCATTGCCCAATGGAACTCTATTTTAGTTCTTTCACCAGAGTATTTTTCAGTGTACTAAGTCTATACCTAGATGAAAATGAGATCACTACCACATTTTTTATCTTTGTGATGTTTCAGATTTTCTTTATGACGTTTGTCCATTTGTGTCTCAAAAATCCATTCATTTCTTCTGCTGACAATCTTCTTCAGGAACATCTTCAGCTTCTCTAAAAGTTTTTGTTTTTTTTTTTGTTTTATTTTTTTGTCAGACAGAAAACCAAAATCATTTGCCTTTAGTGTCTAGTTCAAATTCTAAATATTCTAAATATAAAGTGGTGGGAGATGATGAAAAAAACTTACTATCAAAGATAATCTGATCGAAAATAGTTTGTTATACAGGCAAGATAACTGAAAAACAGTTTTCAATGTCTTTATAAAAAAAGAATGAAAATGCAGCTGTATTGATGTAATATCTCACCTGCCTTTTATGAAGCAGATTTCATTGGTGATGCTGGATTTGTACTTCAGGCAGTAGCTGCTACATTTGGAATCAATGATTGCATCTCTTGACTTTTGCCATTAGTTATAATAAAACAAATATGTATGGATTTTAATTTTTTTTACTGTGAACACTTTACAGGACATGAGTTGAACATATGTGCGGCTCCAGACTGCATGAGCATAATCCAAGCGTAAAACAGCACATTATCTCTGAAGTCTCACATGTCCCTTCTTTAAACTTTCCAGTTGGGTATGAAAAAAGAACCTTGCTAAAAAAGAACTTTTGTATACAAGTAATTGGAAGAAAGATGAGGATTCTTTTTTCTGACCTTGACATAGCTTAAAAATATTTTTAAAAATACAGGAAATTATGAGGGCAGAACATAACACTATAGATCATGTGTTTTGGTAAAAATGAAGACCCTTTGATGTTAGTAAAAAAAAAAATCACAGTTGTGGAGAAGTAGGCCCTCTAGCTGACAAAAAATATTGTCTGACTAGAACTTCTCAGAATTCAGTTATTTTAATGAAAAAAAAAAAAAAAAAAGAGACTCTTGTTTGAAAAATAGAAAAGATGATTGCTTTTCCTTTCTCTTCTTTGTGTATCTGTTCCCCTGCCCATGAAAGCTGTTTTTCAGTGCTTGCTTTCTCTTTTTTAGAACTATAATTGGATATATTTTTGTAAGTCATGAAGGTTTATGTTGCACACATTTGTTCTATGGTTAATTGCTTTTCTTAGATTCTGTAATGGTTTTTCTTCCAAGGCTGAATCCTCCTCCTTAATTTTCTACTGTGTTTTAATATTAACTGAAGCAACTTATGAGAATACTATATCTAAATATGTATGGCAAGTCAAACAGCTGCTAAGAGTGGGACAGTGAAGAAACTTACATAGAGAAGAGCCAGCATCCATTATTTTTCTTGGTGAAACCTTTCTTGTGATGCTGTGATGCTTCCAGTACCTCTGAATGTCTGAAGAATTTAGAATTTTCTCAGATGTTAAGGCTTCGACTTCATAGTAAGGGAAACAGGCAATTGCTTAAAAAATATTGTGATTGGCAAACGATCTGTAAAAAAATTAAAATGTATTAATTTCTCCATAAATGTGTTAGTTTAAACAACTTCCATAAAACTATTCTATCTAAAGTGGCAGTTATTAAAAAGACAGAGCCAGGCTCTTCTCATGCATGCAGAGCAAAAGCAAAACAACAGTCACAAGCTGAACCAAGGGAAATACTGACTACATAATATGAGGAATAAAAAATTTACAGTGAAGGTAATTATACAGTGGAAAGAGATTTTTCTAAATCTGATTTGAAAAGACTAGGAGCAACATGATCTAACTCTGAAGTTAACTTTCCTACATGATCTTCAGAGGTCTCTTCTAACCTTTTCTATGACATATATATATATCTATATGCATACATATATAAATGTGTGTGTGTATATATATTCTATTTAATAGTGTGTAACTATTCTATATAATACCTAACTGAATATATTTTTGCCTGAAAATCACAGTAAGGAAAAGAAAAAAATAAGATCTGCTGTCCAGTGTCTTTCAAACAAAGGGAAACATATCCATCCAAGAGATCAAAGGCATGAAGAAGCTATTGGGACATTTCAGAACCATATCTACATCAACGAAGGAAAACATCCTTTCAGTTGTTTCCTCTCAGTAATTGCTATTTGTTAGGGTATCATATAAAAAATCCCAACTTTTTTTGTATTTATAGAAAAAGAAAACCAGATTTAGAACAAGGTAGGACCTAGAAATACAGTTTGTCTTATCCCATAGCCAAAGCTAAGTGATCTATCCTTTTTCTAATACTAAACTGTATTTAGCTGAAATATACTGGAGTGGAAATGCATTTTTTCAGTTCAGAAGGCTTCTAATCTGCAGTTTAATACTCAGAAATAATTTCTTATTCCTATTTAATTCATCTTTCCTGAAAAAATACCCAAATTTATTTTTCAATTTAATCAAGTTGGAAACTCAAACTTTTGTCTCAAAACCATACTTTAGAATTAAGAAGATCAAAGTTCTGCAATTCATGGGGTGGAATGTTTTCTTCACTAATTTTTAATTGAGGAGAAATTTTTGCATTTATTTGTT